GGCTTTTGCTGTAGTGGCTTTTGCTGTAGTAATTTTAGGAGCGCGTCGTGATCGTAATAAAGAGTTTAATGATGAATGAGTGGCTTTCTTACATCTGGTTAACACAAGCTCACTATAACTTCCGTCAGCAAACTTAAATTCCAGTAAAATACTTGAAATATATGTAGCAATACGAGTTTGGATAACATCAACAAATTCCTTCTTGCAAGACATAGATATACCACATCTAGTCGGAGGAATTATATTCATTGCTATTTCTATAATTGAGCGATTCGATTTCAAGTGATCACACCAAGGCCTGAAACGGAGTTAGACAGATATTGAGAACAGATGCACTATGAAAAAAAAACAAAGTGAAAGCGTACATTTCATTTTTTCTGTCAAGTTCACGGCGATAACGACCATCGACATTTCTTTCACCATTATTGATCACAATAGTACTGATACGGATCGAGCCTGATTTGATACCATAAACTGTTTCTAACTAGAATTTCGTTCAATTTAATTGGTTTAGACATAAGTGATAGCTAATGGAAATACGATTACTTTTCGTGCAATTTCATCAATATTGATGACTGTGGTATTCTGATCCTTGTTTGGTATCCAATTTGAAGAGAAACTTTGAGTCATGTCGCCAGATTCTACAATATGCATTGAAGGATCAAAATAGGCAGCTGTTTTTCAGAGCATTTTTACAAAAAACTGAGTCATTGTTTGCAAAATTTTCTCAAAGATAATCGACATACAAAGAAAAAATTAATTTACGAACATCAAATAGCATTGAATAGAAGGAAAATATTTTTAATCTTCTCTCTATCGTTATCATTTTAGATAGTATGCGCTAAGAGTCATTCCTGCAAGACAATGCTTTCTTACCAGAGTTTAGCAAACTTTAAGGTTCTCACTCTATTCGCTTCTGAACCTCAGCTACACTTATAGGCAAATGTAACTCTGATGCTATTTTCTTGCTCAGTTTCTTATGGTATTAGTAATGGACAATATTCAGCATTAAATACAACATCCCAAGAAAAATTCGATCTATCAATGGCCTCAGTTGTTCAGTTCTTAATTTTAACTTTGGGATATGTAAAGATAGGTTTTTATATTCTATTGTAAAAAAATACTATTTTGACAAGTTGGATCAACCTCTTCGATATATGGCAACGACACTTTTCTAATTTTTTTTGTTGAGTGTAAGCACTTTGTTTTTATAATCCGCACAGGTTACCTAGTAACTGCTCAGTAATTTGAAAGCGATAAAAACGAAGATTTTCATTCATCTGTGATCTAGAAATTAGCACATACGAATGTTCTCAATGTTAATTCTATATAGTGTGCCAATGGACATACCGGGTGGCCCAAAAGTAAGGAAAAATAATGGGTATCCCATAATAACTGATGAAAAACTGTTAATGATATTTTTCATACTTTTTATTGATGTAAAGAGCTGAAACTTTTATTACATATATATCTAATTAACACCTATTATTTCTGAAAGTTTTAGCTCTCTACATCAATAAAAAGTATGAAAAATATCATTAACAGTTTTTCATCAGTTATTATTAGATACCTATTATTTTTCCTTACTTTTGGGCGACCGGGTATTATCTTATGTGATATCTTTTCTTTCTCAGTGTGCTCTTGTACAATCAATGATACATAGTGTTCATAATCGCGTTACTCCTACGTTTATTTATGCATGGTTGAACTTTTTTCTCTTTCTGTCGTAATGCGCTTCTCATTCTATATCTTAAACATTTCAATAAACGACTGACGAACGTTTGCCAAATCTATATGAATGTGGTTTGAAGTAGCATTGTCTCATGTTTTAGGACTCTATAGTAGTGCCCGGCGTGACCAGAAAATCGTGACCAAAGAAAAAAAAGTTGTCCGATAGTAATTTTCATGTTGAATGTGACAAAAACACTTTTGATTTAACTCTTTGTATTCAGAATTTTCTCCTCTTCAAAATGATGTATAAAAGTTGAGGATACAATGATCTATAGAAGAGAAAACAACGACATATTTGTCGTGATCAGAAAGTTCCGTGACTGACCGTGACTAGAACTGGTCACGACAAATGTATCATTGTTTTCTCGTCTATAGATTATTGGATCCTCAAGATTCATACATCATTTTGTAGAGAAGAAAATTCTGAACACGAAGAATCAAGTCAAAAGTATTTTTGTCATATTTAACATGAACATTACTATCGAATAATCTTTTTTTTCATTGGTCACGGTTTTATAGTCACGCCGGGCACTACTCTATAGAAAGAGTTCAAGAAGGTGTGCCAATAGGCATATTATCTTATATGATATCTTTACTTTCTCAGTGTGTTCTTGTACAATCAATAATACAGTGTTCATAATCGTGTTACTCTTACATTTATCTAAGATTGATTGAACCTTGTTCTCTTTCTGTCGTAATGAGCTTCTCAATATATATCACCATTCACTCGTTCACTCTTATATTGTAATCTCCTTGGCCTCATCACTTGTTCATCCTTACATTGTTCTCTCCTTGGCCTTATCACTTGTTCATCCTTACGTTTTTCTCTCCTTGGCCTCATCACTTGTTCATCCTTACGTTGTTCTCTACTTGGCCTTTTCATTTTTCATTTTATTATCTCTTATTCGACTCATGTATATACACGTGTGCTTCATATGTAAACGATGCGATTGTATGATATGAAGAAATAGAATAAAGTGTAATACCACCAATACTAACATAGCTTCTACCATCAATCGTCACATAACGATTAAATGAGACGAAGGGATAAAAATAAAAGTATATCATCATCTCTTCCCATTAGACATCGGCGTAACCAAAATGTCGTGACCAAAGAAAAAAAAAGTTATTCGATTATAGTTTCAATAGTAAATGTGAGAACCGAAATCTATTTAACTATTCTTGTTCAGAATTTTCTTCTCTTCAAAATGGTATATAAATGTCGAAGAATCTGATGATCCATAACAGAGAAAATTACATCACATTAGTCGTGGCCAATTCTGGTCACGGTCAGTCACGACGTTTTCTGGGCACGACTAATGTAATATAAGTTTCTCTGTTATAGATCATCAGCTTCTTCGACTTTTATATATAATTTTGAAGAGAAGAAAATTCTGAAGAAGAATAGTTAAATAGGTTTCGATTCTCACATTTATTATTGAAACTATAATCGAATAACTTTTTTTTTCTTTGGGCACGACATTTTGGTCACGCCGATGTCTACTCACCACATTAATGTCCATTCTTCTATCCGCATTTTTTCGTTACAGAACGGACGGTTATAATGGTCTTATAGATCTAACCATATCTGAAATATCTCATCAAGGAATCAATGGAGATTTGTGATCTTTCGAAATAGTTGTTCGTTGTATCTATATTTTGACTACCTAGAATAATATGGTTCTAATCAGTCAATCGGAAAAAAGTGAAACGACTTTTGCTCAGCGTCATAAGGCATCGAAAGTCTCAGTCTTCTTGGATAACATCTTTCTATGTTGATTCGTTTCTGAGAACTGCTAATAGGCTATCTAGAAAATTCAACTCTCTTGAGAGTCAAATATTCTGAACATGAAAGAATTGTATTTGCTGCTACTTTTCATACACTATAATAACCAACAAATCTTTTTTCTGAACAAAACTATAGGTGACAATAGTGTCATTCAACCTCTGTGAACTACTGCTACCATAGACAAAAAAAATGATAAACTGGCCATGAATCAAGAAGAAAGACCTACGGAGACTATTTATATTAGAAATTGTTAATCTCAAAAAGGTCTGATTGATGAATTAAGTCGCATGATAGAAGAATTTTATCATCTACAGATTTTTCCGTGGGAGCTTATCTCCACGGCTGATAGTCAATAATCTGAATGAAAGATGCATCGTAGCAATTTTAGATTGACTCGAAAGATATTCTATTTATCAGGATCTATATGACATCGAATTTGCTAGTCTTGTGATTGAGTTGTTTCGGAGAAATCACCGTGAAACATAATGAGATATAACAAAATGTTCGAAGATTCAGAAAAAGCAAGTGGTTAGTAACGATTGAGAAAGAATGATCACCTAGATAAACTATATGAAAAAGCAAATTTTCTATAGAAAATGTACTATGCCAACATATTCAATGATTTAAATGCGGCTTTGAATTATAAGAGTTAGTTTTTGTATTCCACTTATATATACATATCATTAAAACTACGATACAATAGATTAAGTGAAACTTGCTTATGAGCAATTACAGCTTTAATCTAAGTGAAACATAATTAGGATTGCCGAAAAAAGTAATATGCTTATCGGCTAAGTCTTCATTCATTCAATCCTGGATGAAAAAGATACGTAGAATAAAGAAGTAAGTACTGACTTGGAGGCCTTATGACCCATGTGTTTTGATTAATCATTAAAAATTACCTAAAGGATCATCGTCAAACATAAGAGACTTTGGATGATGAGAATCGCTATTTTTGATACAGAAAACAGAGGAACATACTGATGATATTGATTAGTTTTGACTGCATCGTTTTCAAAACTTTATAGAGAACCGGTAAAATCGAATGATGAATAATTTCCAATTTCGTAAATAAGAAATTTTTCTCTGTCCGAATTACCAGTAAAAGATGATGATTATCGTAATTTAGATGAAAAATAATCGTTCTCTTAATAACTATTTCTAGGCGACTAAATGAGAAAATGAGTTCGAAATAATCAAAATTTTATTAAACCAAGCTCAATGTATTTATTCGTCTGGAATACAGCCTTTTTTTAAAATTTCATGGTGTGCTTTTTTCTGATTGGGATTCCTTTACTATTCATTTCTGTTAGCGGAAAACTAAATTTCTCATTATTTCTTTTCTCTCACACTATTTCTGAACGTTTCACAATAATGGCTCAATTAACAGCATGATCTACTGTTTAGCTGAAAGAGAAAGCTGACAAACCTGTGCTGTAGTTGACCATAGTGTTTGTATTAAATTTTTTAAGAAATGTAGAGACCAATGAAAATATGATCGCCACGAGAAGCCCAAGCAAAAATAGGCCAATGAGCGTTCCAGTAATCAATAAGAACCACTTAGCATACATTTTTCTGAAATAGAAACAGAAAAAAGATCCATCATTCGTCTCTAGATAATAGAAAGCAAACACAGTGTTAACGTTGAGTTGACCAGGTGAGGTCTTCGAATGGAAAATAGTTTTTCGACTGTGACTATGTTCATTTTAATGTCCATAGCGAGTAGTGTAGTTCCCTAACTTGGATTGAATCTGTGGACCTTTTCAGAGTGAGCTATGAGTGTTATTTTACTCGCTTCTCGAACTATTCCAAGGCATTTCGAAAAATCGAGTGAATTGGTTTTAATCTGGAAATTGGCATTGGGATAGATCTCATGGTTACCAGAATGTCCCAAAACTTACGGTCGAAACATACCTTTCCAACTCGAAATAGTAAATTCTTTAAGAATTCATATTTTATAAAAAAAATTGAAAACACTCAATCTGCTTGAAAAATGAATATTTCTAAGAAGCATTCGTTCGAACTAAAATTTATAGCAAAATCTGAAAATGATGAGTTCTCTCCGTCTGCAAAATCTCAGACCGAAAATATGGCATCCGATTATATCGGA